AGTGTATCTCCCCTGCCGGCCCATGCAGAGCCAGCGCTATCAGAGCGTCAACCTTGTTGTGTGCCTTCATGGGCCAGCGGGGAGACAAACTATCTCCCCACTGGCCCACAGGCACCGAGAAGTAGCCGGGGGAGGGAGAGAGGACCCAGGGGAGCTCTATCCTGCAGGTCCGCCAGGTTCCTCTCGCAAAGCCGGAGCGTTGCGGCTGTTACTATGGCAACACTCCAATCTCGCACAGTGATCTCTACCCCATGAACTGCAGGGTAGAGTTCACTCCTCACCAGTCCACCAGGGATTTCCTACCGGACAACCAAGGCTAGCAAAAAGGTCTCCCATACAAAGGTAAGAAGGGAGGGGGGGCATAAATATAATAATAAAAAATATGTTTTTTATTTTTACCCCACAGCACCCCTCACACACACACACTACACCCCAAACGCCACACTGCACCCCTCACACACACTACACCCCAAACACCACACTGCACTCCTTACACACACACTACACCCCAAACACCACAGAGTACCCCAAACACACACACTGCACAAATCATACACACAGGGCACCCTTCACACCCAGTGCATCCCTTACACACATTACATTCTAGACACTCATTACATCCCTCATATGCAGACACACTACATCCTTTATACACACACCCTAGATCCTGTACATAACTATGGATCCTCTACATACACACTAGAATCCCTATACACACTCTGTATCCTCTACACACACACACACTAAATCTCATACTGCATCACCTACACACACTACATTAATGACATACACACTCTGGATCCCCTATGAACACACTAGATCCCCTGCAAGCAAACACACACTAATTTCCCTAAACACACACACTTTACAACCCCTACACACACTACATCATCTATACACACATACACTACAGCCAGTGATGTATGTACCGCGAGGCTAACAAGGCATTTGCCTTGGGCGGCACTTTGCAGGGGGCGGCAAGAAAAGCCGCCCCGGAAAGCCCAGGCGGATGCCTTGTTAGCCTCGTGAACTTGGGGGCTCATGAGCTAGCTGGCTGGCCACCTTTGGGGCACCTCCGAGGCGAGCGGCAGCTTGCAATGCAGTTGGGCAGCGCTTAGTGATGCCGGGAGACGGAATATGACGTCAGTCCAGCTCCCAGCATCACTAAGCGGTGCGCGAGGGAGGTGAGCAGGAAGATCAGAGCTCCCTCGCTGCCTACTCTGCATGTCCACCTCCTACCTGCACGCACAAGCAGTCCGAGTTTCATCCTGCCTAGGGCAGCACAAATCCAAAATGCACTACTGACTACAGCCCCTATGCACACACTCACTACATCACCTATGCTCTCACTCTCTACAGACCCTAGTCATACATATTACACCACAAACACAACACAACTGAAACCGACATTTACACAAAACACCGCACAATCAACTAACTCCACACACTCAATCCCACAAGCAAGCTCTAAGAGGGAGGTGGGGGGTTCATTTTCTATTTTGAAACTATCTGCTCAGTATTTAATGAAGTTGCAACAGGGTGTTTACAAAACATTGTATATAAATGGATTTCCTAGCACTATAGCGTTGCTGTCCCTACTTGCAAGCAGATCCCTCAAACACAGTGCAAAATAATATATATATATTTTTTTAAATGAAGGTTTGCTTAAAATTTTCCAGCACCAATGCTCTTTCAGCTTAGCCCTTCTCCACCAGCAGAGGGGACCTAGTGTGCATGCGTATACACACTTTCCCATAATAAACTATTGAATCAATGCTTTCCTATGGGGCTTCTGTGTGACTGACAGTTTTACTCTGTCAGTAAGTGGGTTAAGAGGATGGAATCATAGCAATGGAATCATAGCAGTTTCTCAAAAAACGACAGTGTTTTACATTGCAGGGTTAAGGGGACAGGATCACTGCACACAAGCTGAGATGAAGTGGCCTGGATGACTATAGTGCTCCTTTAAAAATGCTTGATCTTGCCATGGGATAATATATAAAATGCTCCCATACAATAACAAGATTTTACTTACTAAGGAGGTTTTTTTTAAAAGGAATAATTCTACGTCTGCCAGTAAATAGCACCTGGTGGAGCCTGTAATTGTAGCATTATTTCCCCATTTATATAGGTAATAAACAGATTAAAGTTATATTTGTGTAACGTTTGAAAACCAAAGGGGGAAAAAATAACATTTTCATAGAGACCATAAACTAGCCAGAATCAAAGATGGCGCTCCCTACAGGCCGTGACGACATCGGTGCAGGTTTACGTCCCACAATGCCTTTCGCGTCCTTTTGTTTACGTCGCATAGTGATGCGTTCCAAGCCTCGGCTTCTTGCAATGTCGGTCTGTCGCATGTGATACACGGTGTGTAGTGCAGTCCGGGTCTCTGGCTTCGGATATTTGTTATTAATATTATTACCGCTCTCTGTAGGTTTCTCTGCCTCTGAGAATCTGGGGTCACATTCTCCCAGTACACAGACAGGTTAACTGGCGCTGAGACACCGAGTGGCACTCCTCCAGGCGAGTCCCCGGCCTGCGGCCTGCTATATATTGCTGTAGCCGTTCATGGTATGTTATCAGACATGCCCTCTGTGTATCTATAGGCTGCACAATGTATGACTGACAATACTCTGTATCCCTGATTGCTGTAACCGGGGCTGTTCGTGGCAGCTCTTTACACTGTGTCATTGATCCATGTAACTGGATCTCAGTTCAGCAATAGTATGTGAATGCCTGTATAATCCATGTAATTATTATTATTATTGCCATTTTATATAGCACCAACAGATTCTGTAGCGCTTTACAATATATGGTGACTAAAGTATGGCAGAGTAAGAGCATAGTGTATTCTAGAGCTAGTTTTATAGTGTCCAGGTTTATAAGGTTCCTTTTTCGTTCTAATGTTTCATTGCACTGGTCATAGTACAGTGGCAGAATCAATGCAAGGATTGTCTAGATTAATATTGTATTAGGTATGTCCTGTTGTTTTGACATAGGCATGCTTTGAAGTGTGTAGGGAGTAGATTAGACTAGCAACTCTCTGGCATATCTATATTTTCTGCTGATTATAAACCTTTAGCTTTTTTCAAATATTTTCTATTCTCCATTAGACATACACGTTTGTCAGTAATCAGGCTTTCACTATTTGAAATTTTATGTTTTTACAGACATTTTCATATGGCATAATGGTAGTCGTTTGTATGCGCTTTCAGCCGTACTAGGAAAGTATAATGTTACTTGATTTAAAGGGCACTTGTCATTGCACCTATACATTATGCAATAACATGCATAACATTTCATCTTTACTTTGTGTTAGCAAACTAAATTTTTTGGCATTTAGTCTATGAAGAATTGATTGACAAGGGAGAGCAGAAGAGGATCCCCCCCAGCAGTCCTTCTGCTCTCCAAGAATGGCAACCATTGCACATGGGCTCTGGTTGCTATGGTAACTCCCTAGCTGACGCTGTTAGCACTGGCCACACAGCCACTAAAGTGACATCCGGGAGATGTCGTCTAACTGATTCTGGACGTCCTCACGCTCTGCATGAGGACATCCAGTGTCGTCTAACACCCCTTAGGAAAGCATTGAGCAATGCTTTCCTATGGGGGTAGTCCTAATGTGAGCGCAACACATGCGCATTAGGTTCCCTTCGCTGGCTGAAATCGGCAGAGATAGATCCTGACCCAGCACCGAAGAACCTTGGCATTGGAATCAGCGCCAGGGGGGGGGGGGTGGAGGCAACTTTATTTTTATAGCACTAACGTTTCCCTTTAACAAAGTTAACTAAACTTATTGCATTTAAAAACAAGAATCTTGGCCGTCACTGTCATATGTCCACCAGCATTGTGTTATAGAGCTGTGCATATGATCTTTCCTTCTCATACACACAAATGTGAAGCGTGTCCCACACCAGAAGGATAACATAAATACAAAACTTTTGTGGGACAAAGTTCTAAAAGTGGAACCGTTACCATGGAAACTAGTGGAAGTTTTGCTGTTCCACTTTTAGAACTTTGTCCCAGAATTGTTCTTCATACCAAATTATGAACCCTCAGCAATAGTTTATACACCATGGGTCCTCAAACTCCGGCCCCCCTTTTTTTATGCTGAACTACAACTCCCATGATTCTTTGAATTACATAGATAGCCAGAGAATCATGGGAGTTGTAGTTCAGCAACCTCTGGGGGGGCCGGAGTTTGAGGACCCATGCTATACACCATTACTGTCAATGTTACCTGGCACTGAACACATAGTGAAGCCCACAGCTGTCCTCGATGAGCAATGGGCATTTTTTTCACACAACACACAAAATGCGATAGATTAAAACTGTATTCAAACTAATGCCCATGGATATATTTCTAAAAGTGTGTCCTTTTCAGCCATCAGCAAGTAGCTTTGCCTTTATCTTGCTTTTTAAATGCATTAATAATCAGTGCGTACTCTGTGCTGTAAATCCCTGTGCCATGTTCTATTGGGAGATAAGTCTATTGAAAAATTAAAATCATAAAATAGTAATTTAATTTAGAATACTAAACATTCTCAGAGATGTATTCTATAAACTGTACTGCACATTCTAGAACACCGCAGACGACTGAGAAAAACAGCTGTTTTCTAATTGTCAGTTTTAAGTACCCAAGTGATGTGATGCTGGTTGTCTCTGGGTTAGTGAATATCCCAGGTTTGTCAGGCAGCTGGTATTACCTGGGTTAGTGAAACCCCAATGAGGATAGGCTGCTGGCAGCCCGTGAGTTAGTAAATAGCCCAGTGATGCCAGGCTCTAGTGTCTATAGCATCTCTATGGTTGAGGGAGCAGGAGACCAAGCCAGTGCTTAGGGAGCTGCTGGTTTTTAAATAAAGTTAAGTAAAATAATTCTTTACAAATTTTTTTTTTTTTTTTTCAAGCAAACGTTGTGGATGCAGTATTTAATAGGGGACAAGGGCACTATAGCATTAGGAATACAGGTATGTATTTCTAAAGGTATAGTGTTCCTTTAATATAAGCAAATCCTTGTAGCAATGTTGTATTATGTGAAACATATTCAGAAGAATAAACGCTGTAACTACGCAAGCAATGCCGTGGTTTTGACCTGCCATGTTTGACTTATAATTGCCCACATACATTTTGCCATTGAGTTTAGTTCTGTAGTGAAAATATCAGTATCATAAGCCTATAGCTAGACCAAAAAAGTAATTTTTCACCAGAAAGGTGCGTACAGAACTTTGTTTTTATTTGACCGAGGGATGTATTTTTAACCCCTTAAGGACACATGACATGTATGACATATCATGATTCCCTTTTATTCCAGAAGTTTGGTCCTTAAGGGGTTAAGGTGACAGACATATTAACATAAAAATTTAAAATCCTCATCTGCCAAATCTAGTCCGGTATGAGGAAAAGTATCAACTGTATCTTCTGACATACCTCACAGTCCCTCCTTTGGCTTCTTACATTGCCACCATAATGGAAAGCTGAAATAGTTAGAAGCAATGTTGTATTTATTTCCATTTGTTCACCCTGTATCATACTTTGAGAATGATGTCTCAGTGCTGTAATGAGAGAGGTGTACCCAGTGCTAGCACCACCTATTTCCCAAATAAAAACACCTTATTAGGTCCAATAGACAGTCTGAACCTGTGTCTATTGAGGAAAATTCATTTACATTTTAAAAGTTGTGGTAAATTGTATGTATATGGAATAGATTTTTTTTTTTTTTTTTTTTTTAAACACCATTGGTTAATTATTAAGCTTGTATTTCCTCACCGTCCGCTACAGTTAGTTTTGTTTTCTTTGTAGTTTCATGTAGTCTAACACTGCTCTCTATTTTATTTTGAGGAGTCAGTTTGTTTTATTCTGTTAGAATTATTTTCAAACCTTATTTTTGTATACAAGTTTAGAATTTTTACATATTTATAGAGCTTTTTAGGCTACTGACTTTTTTTTTCTTTCTACAGCTTGTATAATTGTTATAGATTTGAACGGCTGTAAGAAATCTTGCTTTTCACACTATAACTAACACAGTTTATCCGTATAAATATATGTTAGTAACTATATTTCTGCTCATTCACACACATACTTTTTTTTTCCCACACACAATAATAACCCAGTACAACTTAAGTATGCTTTATTTATGTTTTACAGATTGTCAGTTGAGAAAAATGTCTTTATACGATGACCTTGGCGTTGAGACCAGTGACTCAAAAACAGAAGGATGGTCGAAGAACTTTAAGCTTTTACAGTCCCAACTGCAAGTGAAGAAAGCAGCGCTGACACAAGCAAAGGTAAACCGAACTTATCATTTAAAGGAGATCTTTGTATATTGTAAATGCATGTTGTATGTGTATTTATACTTCTCCAATAAAGACTTATTGTTGTATTCCTCTTTCCACTTGTTCTACTGCACTGACTTATATAGTTTATCTGGTCAATAAGTTACAGTTAAAAATACTAATAATATTAGTTAGGAAGCTCAACTGAAAAGCTCAAATTGCCTGATCTTTCTGATTAAAACGATGCCTGTAGCTATTCGTGCTTTTCATGGGTTTTTAAACATACTTCTCTCAAGCAACAAATATGAGAACTTGCTAACATGATATGATTATAATGTTTTAATCCCACCACAGTGTCAAAGCACCGTGTAGACCATGGGTAGTCAACCTGGTCCCTACCGCCCACTAGTGGGCGGTTTGGGATTTCAGGTGGGCGGTGGTGGATTCTGCAGAAAACGCCCAGTGGGCCTCGATGGCCATGGACCAAGGCCGGCATGGGAGATCCTTTCATCTCAACTGCCAGCCCATGCAGAGTCAGCCTTGCTGTAAGCCCTCTCAGGCTGGTGAGGAGATCAAAGATCTCCCACACAGGCCCGCTGGCACTTAGTTCCAGCAGAGGGAGGGAAGGGCCTGGGAGGCTCTGTGTTCCTCCAGCGAACAGGATGGTCAGAGCAGTGCCGTGTGTTACCATGATGATGCTCCAATACAGTGCTCTGCCCCCAGGAAGACAGCAGTGTCAGTCTGCAGCCAGAGGAGCTGCAGGGTAAAGTGAACATGCCACCACTGGACCACCAGGGCTTGCAGCATTATGTCCCCCCTCCTTGGTAAAAGGTAAAAAGAAGGGAGGAGACATTAATATAGATTTTTACATCTCACACACCCACACAAAGCATAGACCTTATGCACCCTTCACACACATCCCTCACCCCTTACTCATACTGTCCTCCTCCACACACACTACACCCCTCACTAACACACAAAGACTGACCCCTCACACATACTGCCCCCTCACACACGCACAGCGCCACACACACACTGCCCCCTTCACATACACACACATACACTGCACCCTTCACATACACACACACACACACACACACACACTGCACCTTTCACCCACATACAGCACCCCTCACACACACACACACACACACACTGCCCCTCTAACACACACACACTACACCACACCCTTTGCACATAAGCACGCACACAGCACCTCACAGACACACACATATAAAAAAAGGAGAATTAAATGTATCTTTTTTACCCTTTTTTTTTTTTTTTTTTAAAGTACATTTTATTTTAAAGAAAACCCTCATTTCTGAAAAAAAAATTGTTTAAAATTGCACTTACGCTGTAAAATTAGTTACTGGGGCAGTAAGGAAATTTTACCCACTGGGGTGGGCGGTAAGGAAATTT